CCAACGCACGACGGCCCCTCCTGGCCGTATCTGATATGGTATCACGGGGAGCGCTCCACGAGGTTTCTCGCCCGGAGGACTATCACTAGGCTCACCCTGTCTGGCCATCCTACAGCAAAAGAGCAATTAACCATAAATAAGCTTAAAGGCCATAAACAAAGAACCCTCAAATCGAGCATTTCTATTACACACAGACTAATTCAAACCTAAGCTCTGATACCACCTGTGACAGCCCCACTTTCCCTTAAAGCGAATCAAAGGGGTTAGCGGACTGCCTGCCCAACGATTACCGGATGAAGGTGTAAGATACACCGTTTCGAAGCTAAAAGACAGGGCTACAACATTACAGAAGGTCACTCAACCCAGTTTTGAGTGCAACCATGTCAAAAATGCAAGATACTACACCAAAACCGTAAAACAGATTCACAAAATGCATTCTAGCGGAAACATCATAAATCAGGCTATCCAAGTCCAAATCCAGAAATTCCAAAATCAACTGAAAGCTAGGAAACAGGGTTACATTTCATCAGAAGTCCTCAATAACCAATTCCGAAGCAATTCCAACCAAAACAATCAATTACAGGCGCAATTCTTACATTCGGATAAACCAGGACAGAAAAGGTAATTTCGACTTTTCTCATCCTACACTACTCCGATTGACCTGAAATTTTGCAGGCACCTCTAAAATATCATTCCCTACAACTTTTATGTTTTAATTCAAGGCCAATTCGGCCTCTAACTATAAGATACAAAACCGGGCAGAATGTACCTTAATCAAACCCTAATTTTCCAGAATTACTTCCAAAACAGAAATTGGTTGTAAATACCCACTTTTTCCACCTCCTAGAGTCCTTATACATCATTTCCAATCATCATAAATAGTCACACAATCATGTTCATATTAAAACAGAAAAATCACCAATAAATAGAAAACTTCACCAATTCAACCACAAATCAAGATGTAATCCATAAAGTTTCATCACATACCACCACTAATCATAAATTAGGCATCATTAGAGGAAGGAAAGTGGTTCTTCACAACTCACCTTAGAAACAAGAGAGAGAGAGTAATAGGTCCTCTTAGCTTTCCAAATAACTCCACAAATCAACTCACTAACACTAAGTGAAGAGGTTTTATGGAGAGATTGCAAGATTCAATGGTTAGATTGTTGAACTTGAGCAAGATTGAAGCCAAAAACTTGAAGAGTTTTCTTTCTTTTGTTGCTCAAGGAGCTCGGCCAAGATGAAGAGAAAATGGTAGAGTTTTGGTTATTTTTTTGATTTATTTGGTCAATGGTAAGACCATGAATAGTGTTCATAAAGTAAACCCACTCAAATGGTGACACTTGCCACCTCATTAATGACTTGCCTAACTTTTGTCTCTCTTATGCCAATCCACTTAGCATCCTCTACTTATCTCTTAACACCCGGTAAATTAATTCCAGTATCCAAAACTTAACCTAGTTGGCCGAATTTTTCCGAACTTTTCGCACTAGTGGGTCCCACGTCCGGTATACGCTCTTAATTTCTCAAAACCTATTCGATACTAGAAAAATCATCTAAAAATTATATCTGCTCCTTAACAATATCTAGAAATTTTTCGTACTCACGAAAATGCAGAAAACAAGCCATGAAAAATAATAAAACCTAGAAAATGAAAAATTACAGGTTCTCACAAATACACAATCAGTTACAGCGTTTATGCCAAATGCGCTCTAAAAGCACGTGCGATAAAATCTTGATCTCTAAGTAATCCCCTTATGATTTGTATAAATATTTACTTTACTCTCTTGTGATTTTTGTATTTATCAACGTAATTTTCCTATACTTTTATACAAGATAATTAAGATGTTGATTGATTTATTATTTAAATAAAGGCACTATTGATATTTCAATTAACGACGCTATATAGACTATTTTCCATCAAATTTCTATTTTACATAAAATAATATGGGATTGAAGTGGACATTTTGAAACATTAGGGGATCATATGGCAATAAATGAAACTACAGCGTCACATTTATTATATCTCTACATTTAAACACTTTCTCAAATTAATTCATTTTTGCCAAAAAAAAATTAATACACGAAACCCTCCCGATTGACCAGGGACACCCATTTGCCAAACCCTTTGATTAAATAACAATAAAACACACAAACATGAGCAGTACTTAAGAACTATGAAAAATCCTAAAATATGAAAATCTTATTGGCATTGGATCCAAAGTTAGGCACGTAGTTACATCACATGTCATCCTCAAATGTGAAAATCCTCAATAATCTTGACCAAAAACGAACGCAAACAATCTAGTACTGCTACAGCCTTAGGAAATGTCCTCTGAAGTTCCTCTCCACTAGCTGAAGTGCTGGAAAAAAGCAAAAGTCAAGCTAAAGTCTCTTCCTCTCACTTTCAAGATCAAGACAAAACGACTCATTAGTGGTATTTTAGCCCCACTTTAATGTTACTTTAATGTTGATTCATGCAGCACGAATTCTGTCTTCAAGAAATAGAAAAAAGGCGAAAATCATTTGCTTGATTGTGCAATTTACCCTGTATCGGTCATTGATTTTTTTTTTTTTTTTATTTTGATGGAAGGAATTTTCTTGGAAAACAACCATCAACAATTGGTTTAACCCCTTTGCCTTCATGGTTGCTAATGCCTTGTTTCTTTGATCTGTACTTGATGCATTGCAAACAAACATGCAATTTGTGTATATAATGAAATTGTTTGACATGAAATGAAACCTAGTCTGTGAAATTTAGTGTGTGTGCGTATATATATATATATGTGTGTGTTTGGATCAATGGTACTGACAATCCAATAATAAAACATCTTGTTCCACTAGAGATTTATGTCCTCATAGCGATCATACTCATCTAATTTGATTGGTTCCTGATATTGTTTGGAAGACTTATTAATGACCAAATGTTTACAGAGTATACCAATGTAGTAAAATTTTCATTACTTTGCTATATCTCATAAATCGTGAATAACAATGAGTATGTCAAAAACGATGCTTAACAAACTACCCTTGGAACAACCAATGAAGTATAATTGGTTGACTTAGCAAACGTCGTCTTCAGACAAAATTTCTGTATTAGTATAAAATGTATTAAAGTACATCAATTCCCTAGTTATGAAAAAAGAATTATCCTTGTTCTTGTGTACTTAGCCCTGCTTGTTTCTAGTCATAGTTAATTTTGATTGTTGTCATGGGTACTTGTGCAAAATTGATCATGACATATATATATATATATATATATATATATATATATATATATATATATATATATATAAAATTGATCATTACATAAATTGCAAAGTATTATTTGATTTTGTAGTATTATTATCATGAGATAAAAATTCCAATAACTCGGTAAATTTTCAATTTAGACTAAATGTCTCCAATGACTCTCTGCCTTTGCCAAATAAAAGCCCAAGGCCAAATATGATATTCCATTACAAAGAAGCCAAAACAAAAGCTTCTCATTCAAGGCTTGCAAAGACAAGCAAAAGTAATGAAAACTAACAAAATTCATTGAATTTTAAATCAATTTAGCTCATAATAAGCAAACTCCATTGCTGAAGTTCAACCATAGGTGTGACCCTACAATGCCAAAGCTCAAATTTACTATCAAATTTCACATTTGCAACTGCACCAAAAATACTGAATGATACACTTACAACAAATCAAAATTTACATATTCAGAATTCTAACCTTCACGTTGAAACCATAACATGACAGCCATCAAGCAATTTGCAACTTCCAATAATTAGGCGGTAGCCTCCAACTCCAAATGAATTGAACAAAAGACTCTCATCTCTTGGTGTTCAACAATTTCTAAAGAACAGTTAGTATTTAGTGATGTTTTACTGAACCCAAGCTCATAGATTAGATTGCTAGATTACTTAATAATCAATATATTAATAGTTTATTAGTATTTGGTATTATTACATAGTTATCACTTATTAGTACTTTATATAAATTCATATATATTATCATCATAAATAATTTAGAAGTTCAATCAGTAATAGATAATTCGAGAATCTAATTTTAAAATCTATTCCCAAACTATTTTATCTATATAGAGATTGAATCTATTTTAACTTTACCAAATTCTAATTTATCAAAATCCAAATCCAAACTAAATTGATTCGACTGATTTTTTATTTTTTTTTCAAATTATGAACACCCTTAACCCCAAGTGACTTGTATAGCCTACAATCCTACCTTAATCTCTACCAGTTAAAAGAGATATCTAGTGTTACCAAAAAAACCCAAAAAAAAAGTTACAACAAGAATATTAAGGCACCGTTTGAATTGAAAGAAAGGAAAGGATATCAATGGAAAAGAAAAGAAAGGAAAATAAAGTGGTTTCTATCCATTTTGCTTGGATTAAATATGGAAGAAAAAAAAAGGAAATACTGAATTTTATTTGGATTGACGAAGAAAAAGAAAAGAAAGGAAAAGATCAAGTGTTGATTTAATGAAAAAGATAGATAAAAATGATCTTTAAAAAAAATCAAATTATTTCAATTAATTTAGTTTCATTTCCCTTTATTTCCGCTCATTTTTGGACGGAAACTATAATTTGACAAAATAATTAGACTGTTCTTCGCCCTTTCCCCCCCTATCCTTTTCTTTTACTCCTCAAAAGTTAATCCAAACAACAAAAATTAAATTCCTCCAATTCCTCTGCTTTCCTTTCCCTCCTATTCCCTCAATCCAAATGGTGCCTAAAGAAAAATGGATGTGTCTAACAAAGACAGCTAGCGGGCCAATTGGACATAGCGCTGTGCACTTGCCTAGCCGATGGGCCATGACAAAATTGACACAGTACCCCTTAGACAACTCCATTGCACCATTAGTTTACTTCTACATCGTAGAATTCACCGACCTATTACTATTAGCCCTTCAGGTGCATTCTTCTTTTATCAAGATTTTCAAATTAAAGGTCAGAATTCATCTCATAGACAAAAACCTGAGTCTGAGTGGTGATGGGAAGGCCTGGTTCCCAACCTCAGTACTATCAGCCTTCAACTATTCCAGGAACTGATCAATCTTCTTCAACCTCAATCAACCATTTCAGTCATCCGCACCCTCTCCAACTCTCCCTTCAACCCCAAAGAGGCCTCAATTCTAATTCATGCGCAGGCTGCAAAGACATGGCCCCAGGGCTGGTATACAGTTGCACCATTTGCAACTACTTCCTTCACCAGAAGTGTTCCGAAATGCCTCAGCAAATCACTCACCCTTTCGACAAAGACCATGTTTTCGATCTCCTCCCAAGACCCTGTTATGTTGAAGGCTTCTTTAACTGTGATGCGTGCGGGAAGCAAGGCCAAGGCTTCTGCTACCATTGCAAAATATGCTTTACAGATCTTCATATACTTTGCGCAGCACTGCCAATGAATATCAATCACCAATCCCATCATCACCAGCTCAAGCTCATTTTCACTCCACACTATCCCGAGAAAATCTTTTCTTGCGATATATGCTACGATGCAGGGTCCTGCCATTGGCTTTATAATTGTGACATGTGTGAGTTCGATGCTCACTTGGACTGTGCAACAAATGTTACAGTAAAAATCCATCGAAATATGCACCCAAGACAGACAACATCCGATCTTGATCGGATGCAGAAGCTCTCTATTGGCTCAACATCTACTCCTCAGCAATTTCGACCAAATCTTCACTCAGGCTTCTCTTCTTATCGGTACATGCAAATGGTAGGTGCACCAGTTTGTGCACCATTTTGGCAAAGGCCGAATAACGATAATTTGATAGTTAAATTTTCCACTGAACATGGCCCTACTCAGCAAATTATATCGGATATCACAAGTGGTGGAGGTGAAGCTATTAGCGCGGATGTTTTCGGAGGACCGCAGGACTTGTTTCAAGGATTATCAGTAAGTAATGGCGGACAGAATACTTCTCCGCCTTCTGCAGGCTGTGGGGACGGGAGCGGGCAACATAATTTGCAAAATTTAATGGGTGCATCTGGCACCGGCAATATCTACGGTCTTGATATTTTTGGAAGTTTGTCAATGCTTGATGGGGTAGATATGAGAGGATTACTAGGAGGGTTACTAGGTGTAATTGCCAGGAGGATTACTAGAAGAATTACTAGGAGGATCACCAGGAGGATTACTAGGAGAAGAACTAGAAGGGTTACTAGAAGGATTATTAGGAGGATTACCAGGAAGATCACTTCGATTATGTAGGCTGTGATGATTAGCAATTATGCTCAGTGAATTCATTCCAAAAAGAGAGCCTTAAAAAAGCCGCAGGAGGATCATTAATGGGACCTTTTTCCCCCCTCCTAAAATTTAGCATTTTTTTTATTTCTTTTCATGTCTAACAATTAAGCTTTAGTTTTTTTCTTTTCCCATTTAACAGTTTTATTGCAGGAGCATATCATCTCCCGCCAGAATTGGTTTTTTATTAAGCGATCGACAATTTTTACCCGACTTGAGTGTAATATACAGCCCAATTGCATAGTGGAAATTGCCGGTTGACCAAAATGAGGAACCCAAATTGCAGAATTTCTTTCTGATTTGTAACATATTATATGGCTATGAAGTTATCAACTGAATGCTACTATGGAGAGTACCTTAAATCTTGTAAATTGTAATCTATATCTCTATGAATCAATGGTCTGCACAGATGATTTTTTATCACCAAATAAAATAAAGAGAAGAGTTGAGTATAAACTTTGATTTTATCACTTTCGGTAGACGTAGCAACTCAAAGCATTTTCCCCCTAAACATCTTCAAGGCCCTCCAGTTTCTCTCATCAGAAGTGATTGCAAAAATTGCGGCACGACAAAAGCAGCAATGGTTAATCAAACCTATACAACCTAAGTGTTTGGCTTACTCATCACAAAGATATGGACTTTATTAGGTTTTCCTCTTGACGCATCCTTCATTTTACAGCATTCGGAAACACTTGAAAAATGTGTGCCTTCCGTGTTCAAAAATAGCCCAATTTCACATTGGACAAAAAAGCTTGTGTGATGTATAGTATTTTGATATGCTGTAGAAAGATTTCTTTGGTTTAGAGAAAAATTTAAAAAAATCAGTAAGTGCCATCCAATTAGGTCAAGGGCATATTATTTTTTTTTTTTCAGAGACAACAACTATTGAATAACCTATCTATCCTATACTAGAAGGGAGAGAAAATCTAAAGAGACTTTTGTATTATGGGTTAGTAAGTACAAACCTTACTAGACCAAGGGAATGTTTTGATACAACTTTTAAATTTTTTTAATTGCAGGTGGAATTTAAACTCTCATCTACAGTCTAAACAGGGTCTTAAGACTCACCTTGGTGGTCGCTCAGTGGTTGGTCAAGGGCATATTCAGTTGTTTCCTTTTCCTTTAGTTGGTACCTACCAGCAGCAATACCTAATGCAAAGGTTCATCTGTGATCTACCAATCACTGTTTGTAAATTGTACACAAGTACGAAATTTTTATAGCACAAAGTACCATGTAGTGGACTAAAACTAATTAAAACATTATGCTTGTACTTGTAGTTACAATGGTTCTTGAACTACATACGGGTAAATGTATATAGAGTGAGACTCTCTACAAATTATAGGGCTAAATACAACATTTCTTAAACTTAATTCCTAAAAAGAACACTTTCATTTGGTAAACGGGGACCAAAATTAGAAATTAGTGAGCTAGATTAAACTTTTTTCTTAAAACAAAAAGAACGCATTCATGAAACTTTGAGCTATTAGCCTTCTAATTTATCATCAAATAAGAATCCAATCTTCGGCGTATCCCCTCTAAACCGCGTAATATTGACCTTGGCATCGTTTACTTCCCAAGTCATTCTTTAAACGCCAACGTCTAAAGCAAAATTTCCACGAGGCAGACTTGCAATAGGATCTAATATGTAATCGTCTTTTTTAATTGTTCAATTGTCTTGACAGAATGATGCACAACTGCAAAGTAGGCTTTAGCACATGAAGAAATAGAAAATGCCAAGACTAACAATCACCATCACGCCAATAGCTGACTTTTTGGGCTTGACAAAGTCTACAACCATAGGCTTCAGAGTTCTAAGCCACTTACCATAGTGGATATTTATATAGTCTCACCAAAATCAAGCCCCAAATTTAGACTGGAGAAAGATCAATAGGCAAAGAAGGATCATGAGCTCCCAAGCTGAATCCACCATCAACCATTTCAGCCATCCACACCCTTTGCAGCTTTCCAATCATCAAAACTCCCTGACCTCAGTTTCATGTTCAGGATGCAAGCTGAAAGCAACTGGATTGATTTACAGTTGCTCAACTTGCAACTACTACCTCCATGTCAAATGTTCAAAAATGCCTCAGCAAATAACTCACCCTTTTGATAAAAACCATGTTTTGTCTCTTCTCCCAAAGCCACTTTACCAGGAGGGCTTCTTCAACTGTGACGCATGTGGGAAGCGAGGCGATGGCTTCTGCTACCACTGCAAGATATGCAATATTGATCTTCATATCCTTTGCTCGGCAATGCCATTGAGCTTTACTCACCAGTCTCATAATCACCAGCTCAAGCTTATTTTCTCACCACCCCATCCTAGCAAAATCTTTAACTGTGATATATGCAACACTTTGGGGTCCAACCATTGGCTTTATAGGTGTGATTTTTGTGATTTTGATGTTCATTTGAACTGTACAAATAATGTTCCATCAGTTGCACCAGCAATGCAAACAAATTTTTTCAATCAAAGTCAGACAACATTCACGGCTGCGGCAAATCAAGCTCCCATCCCACAGGTTCATCATCATTTTCAACACCCTGGAACAGCTTCAAGATCTGCTCCTGAGGTTCCTCCTCAGGCTCCTCCAGGCTATCAAGCCTATAATCCACACTTTGTTGCGCCACCTGCAGCAGCAGGCATTCCTGTTCCGCACTTTAATCCTGCCATGACCCCTGGAAATCAGGGAATTCAGTCAGCGGGTATGCCTTCCGTGCACTGGCAGAATAATGAGCATTTGCAGGCGCTGCAAAGGCTTCAAGCTTTATTTGCTAATTTCTCTCAAAACAGCTTTAACCAGCACCACACTCAAGCCCTCATGGCAGGTGGAGGACTAGGTGGCGGAATTGGAGGCTTCGGCAGTGGAGCTGGAGGACTTGGAGGTGGAGCTGGACGAATTGGTGGAGGTGGAGGCTTTGGAGGAATGCAAAACTTGATTCAAGCATTATCAGGAGTTGGTAATGGAATTGGTAATGGTGCAGGAGGTAGTATCCCAGGCCTGGATCTCTTTGGGAATGGTGGAGGTGGAGGGCTGGATATTGTGCAAGGTTTATTGGGTGGTGATGGAGGAGGTTTATCAATGCTTAATGGTTTGGATTTGGGAGGATTACTAGGAGGATTTCTTTGAAACAAATTCATGGTTCTTGCAGTATGAATCTCTTTTTTTTTTTAATTTCAACAAACAAATTATGTGAATCCTTTGCTTAATTGTGTAACTAATCCTGGTTATACGATAACTGTTTTCCTCTGATTGAAGGAGCTTCCTTGGAAAACAACCATCAATCATCGGTTCAATTTCTTTGCCTTCATGATCGATAATCCGTTGTCCTTTGATGTTGTTTACCTCTTCCATTCCAAAGAAAAATTTGCAATTTGTATATTGAAATTGTTTCTGTCGTGAAATGAAATTTAGCACTGTATTGGTCGGATTAATAATCTAATGAATGAATGTCAATGTCATACAGCTTCTTCTTTGATTCTTTATCCTTTTGTGATCACTAAGCCTTATTTAGTGGCATTGGCATAAAACTCTTTTTTTTCTTTCTTTCTTTCTTGAGCAACATTGTCATAAAGAAAACTCATGTCAAGTGATAAAGGCAATGGTATGCGTCAATCATCCAAAGATTCATATCCTCAACTCGATTTTATTGCTCTCAATTAGTTCCTAAAAATATTTGGAATACATATTAATTGAGACCCAATGTATTTCTACCTAACTACTAAGGGAATAACAGAGAATACGCCAAAATCATGCTCTAAGGAACTATTCTTGGAACGACCATGAACTATAGTCGGTTGGTTGACTAGAGCAAATTTCATTATCAGCCAAATCTTTTGCGTTGGCATAAAATGTTTTCTATAATATCTCTTAATCCCTAATAAAGATTGCTCTTCCGTATTTATAGTCATCATTAATTTCCATTGTTGTCATGTTCACTAATGCAAAATTGATCATGACAGGAGAATTTTTTATACTAATTAGTACAAAGTGTTTTCTATTGTATCTCTTCCCTAATAAAGGTATAAGGATTTCTTCCGTACTTTTAGCCCTTCCTGTTTATAGTCATAGTAAATATTTATTGTTATCAATCGTCACTTGTGCAAAATTGATCGTGACATAGACTGTATAGTTTAAAAATCTTATTATCAGACAAAAATTAAAACAATGAAAAATACTTTCACCATTGAATACGTCATAAAACTAATAAATTGTATGCCATCTCTAACCTTGTTTTACACGCGATACTCATAAGAAGCTTGATTTAAAAGAGGGCAATCATCTTTGTTAAACAGCAATAGGCTTGACCTAACAAATGTTTGGATTGTAATTTTTCCTTTGTTACGTTTCTCGTGGACACATTTTTTTATTTCGTATATATCAAATCGTTATAGTAATTTTTTTATAGAAAATTCAAAAAAAATACGATTCAAAGAAAGCCTAACACGAAGAGAAAAAATTAAATATGCATTGACTTGTAAACTGTTCAAAGTTCAAATGCATTGCATTTGGCTGGTAGGTTCCATGATGATTCGTAAGAATGAACCATTGATTTCTCTCTTGATGATTACTCCGATTCTCTCATTGACTAAGTCAAGAAAAGCAAGGCCCAAATGAACCTCCATTCACATGTGTGTGTGTGCGTGTTTCTCCATCCACAGCTGAGAGTTGACTTGACTTAGGGGTGGCAGCAGTGACGCGGCAAACACAACCCGGACATGGTTTAACGAAGAATCAAAAATTTTGAGGTGTAGGTAGCGGAAGCAATTCTTCTTTCTTCTTCTTTTTAACAAAACAAAACTAACTAATGTGAATAAGCAATTACGCATGAATATTGAGAGTATTTAGAACACCCAAAAAAAAAAGAAAAAACAAAGATGAAATGTGTGACAAATATTAGTACTCAAAAATTTTTTTTTTACTATATTATTCTAAAGCAAATGAAAATTTGACTGGCTTATATAAGAAATTACACAAAAAGATCCACAACTGCATGAGGTGAATATTACATCTTGATCAGAGGAATTTTAAATCACTCCTAATCGTCAATCTTACCTTTACAAATTGAATTCATTCAGAAATACAGCAATGCCAACTCAAGTGACTTGTATTACCTTCATCGATCCTACGTCAATTTATATACACAAGCTACAAGGTACATTCAATAGAAAAATGATTAATTATACAACTGCTACTATGCCACTCGAGTATGGATAGATAATGGTCTCATTATCTCATGCCTAATTAGTTTGTAATTTTGACTTGTATTCTTTAGCATCAATCTATTGAATATTAAACCCCCCCCCCCCCCAACAACACTAAAAAAAAGCAACATGCCAAAGAGAGACAGCTAATCCGATCACCCGTTTTCGCTCACCCGAAATAAGTGTGACAAATTGCTACTATACCGATTTAGACAAATTGCACCATAAGTTGACTTTACTCGTGTATCATGAAATCAACGACCTGTTAGCCTTTTTAGATGCAGTCTTTGTTTATCAAAATTCTCAAATTGAAGCTCAGGAATTATCTCAAAGGGAGAAACTGAAACTGAGAGAGAGAGAGAGAGATGGGAAAGCCTGGTTCCCAACCTCAGTTTGATCAGTCTTCAACAACTCCAGGGACTGATCAATCTTCTTTAGCTTCAATCAACCATTTCAGTCATCCACATCCTCTACAACTCTCCAACTGTCAATCCCAACAAGGCTTCAGTGCCAATTTATGCTCAGGCTGCAAACTTGAGGCCTCAGGAATCGTATACAGTTGCACCATGTGCAACTACTTTCTGCATCAAAAATGTTCTCAAATGCCTCAGAAAATCACTCATCCCTTCGACCAAAACAACCATGTTCTTTCCCTCCTCCCAAAACCAGCCTACCCTGGAGGCATATTCAACTGTGATGCCTGTAGCCAACAAGGCAATGGCTTCTGTTATCACTGTCAAACCTGTGGAATAGATCTCCACATCCTTTGCGCATCCATGCCAATGGCATTCACTCATCAATCTCACCACCACCAACTTAACCTCACATTCTCACCACCTTATCCAAACAAAGCCTTCTCCTGTGACATCTGCAAGATGAATGGGCACAACCACTGGCTATACCACTGCAGCATCTGCCAATTCGACGTTCATTTGACCTGTGTAAATGCGTTACCAATAAATCGTACTTTCACTCAACCTCCATCAGTGCTGAATCAGATCCAGTCCATGATTACAAGAAGTGTTTCAATGCCTCCTGCACAGCCGACCATGCCTAACGATTTCGCGAACAACGTAAATCCTGTGGGCTTCAATTCGTTCAGGCCTACAGGAGGCATGGCGGCGCCAATCCATCTGCAGTCTCAGCCTCAATCTTTTGTTGCGACCCCTTATGCAGCTCCAACTCCTACGCAGCAAACCTTCATCCCACCAAACAATTATATGACCCATGGAGGTTATGGCCAACCTGTTATGCCCGCTGGATATGCCCAACAGCAGAATACCATGACTACTCAGATTGTTGGTGGGATAGCTAATGGGCTAGCCAGTGGTGCTTCTCAATCAGCGACACAGGCCCTGATTCAGGGAATATTTGGTGGTGGTGGTGGAGGAAATGGAGGAGGAGGTAATGACGTTACTGGCTTTAGTACTACAGGAGCTGATGTGATTCCAGCAGATCAAGGCACATATTTTGTATCAGATGGCAGCTTCAACCAGATTGATGGAGGATATGGAGGAGATGTTACCACCACTTATTGATGATATTATCCAAACTTCTCTTATATTTTTCTTCGTACATTTCTTGAATTTTCATAAATCCAGGTGATTCCTGAATAGAAGGGGGAAAAAAAGTTCTATCGAGGTTGATCAAGTTTATTACTAAATCTGGAAATTTGCATGATAGCTTTTTTGTTCTTGTTGTTAACCTTTTTTTTTTTTTTTTGTTGGCTTAGGAATGGTCATTGTGATTTAAATTTTATGATATATTATGTCATTAACATAATACATTTTGCAAGGCCCAGTTGTCTCTTTCTTTTCCAATTCTTGTTTTGTTGAAATTTTTTCCTTGCAATTCGTCCGTAATCAAAGAGATAAAGAGGCAACGAAAGTCAACTATTGGTGCCACAAACAATACACTTTATGAAACATTGGAATTTATGCTTAATTTCTTAAGGCCAAACTTGAAACGCGGTGAGGGTAAAAAAAAAGTGCCTTAGTTTTATTTTCAGATAAGATCTGCCTCTGATGAGAAATAAAGGTGCACTTATTGATATTGCAAGGATTATCTTTGTTTTTTTGATTATTTATTATGACATAAGGTATAAATTTGGTACAAAATATTAAACGTGTGAGAATTATTTATTTCTTATTTAATTATTTATTACGAAATACAAGAGATCCGAATTTCATAAAAAAAAATTGAAAAATGAATTGAACTTGAAAAATATAGAACTTTCTCTGGAATATATTTTTAGCATCCTTTCCCTTCTATTTCCATCCAAAGGAGGTTCGCAAAACTTCATGAGCTGGACTAAGGTTCTGTCAGTTGAGCCCAGCCGGCTGATAACACGACAATATAAACACAGAGGCAAGAACTTAGGCTTTGGGAGTGAGAGATCCAATTCCCCAAATCATGGGCCAAATTTACAAGGCACAGAGACAATAAAATATGATCAATGGAAATACAACATCAACAATGACCTTCTCCCCTTCCTACAGATTACAAAACTATAAAAGAACAAACTAGTTTCCTTTTTGCATCAATGCTACTCATTGTTTATCAACCGGAAAGATTGAACACCCGGCAGGTCAGAATTACAAGAAATTTTGCCTAATGCAGATTGCATCAACTCAAAGGAGTATAGCAGTCAAATAGAAGAATAAAATGGAAATAAATGGACTTTTTAAGTAGCATGTGATTATATCCCCTAGAACAATGAAATTGCCAAATTAGTGTAGATGATTTCCACTCACTCAAGTATGTGAATCGAGTGAGCATCCATTTAGTACTAACCCAAAATAAACCATTCTAGTGTATACGTGATTTTTTTTTTTTAAAGCGGACAGTTTACAATCCTTCCTACTTTACCATCCATCCAAACCATCCCTCCACCTTTGGTGTATACATGAACCTTTTTTTTTGGGTGTATATGTGAACTTATGTACGCTAAGTTCTATATTTTTGTATATTTGTTTCACCTAATTAATTACATATATTTACCAAAGATTTCATGCACATGAAATAATTACAAACCCTTGCAAAGTAAAAAAAAAATCTTAATTAGACATATTTACTACTCTATTAGGAAAATTTGGACATAATTACATTGATTTAATGACGGTAAATCATTTAAAACGTTCTTTACATTTTGTCAAATGAATTTTTTTGTCCTTCACTTTTGTTAACTTTATATTCTTTGCAAATTTAAGTTAATGTAAAATGTGATCCTAACTTAAGTTTTCGACTAATTTTTAGTTTGAAATCACCACATAATTGGAGTGCAACCATTTTTGATGTATAAAAAAGTCAAATCTCACTTTCTCAGTGGCAAAAATGAATATGAATTGGATTAAATTTTACTTTTTTAGGAAAAAATAAATATATTTCAGGTCAAATCTTACTTTTTTTTTAGGGGTAAAAATGCATATAGATCAGCTTATTTGTTTATTTACAAATGATATCTAACCTTTTTCCCCTTAAAAATAGATTTTGTGTGAGTCACATGATGGGATCAAGATAAAAATAACTGAAAACCTAGGCTGGAATTGAATTCTACCAATTTGATTTTATAAGGGACGGAAAGTTCCTATTTTAGAAGTGAAAAATAAAAAAAAATTATTTGACGAAAGGTGGAAGGGTGTTCTCAACAATTTTTCACTTTAATCATACTTACCAGACAATTCATCTCCAAGCCAAGAGCTCCATTTGTCCAAAAGCCTAGGGGTTTTCATATTTCCAAAAAAATTGAAAAATCAGCTAATCCAATCTAGATTAGATTTCAGATTTCAATAAAATGGACTTCAGAAAAATCGAAAATATAATGTTCAGTAAAATGGTTAAGGAATGAATATTAAAACTACATTACCGAATTACCAATTATCAACCAAAATATCAAAATTTTTATAATAAAATATTTTATAATATATATATATAAGAGTAAATAGTAATCCTATTATTAAATACTAATTAGCCAACTTTACTATAACTATACTTGGAAGTCCACTTTTGATGAAAGTTGACGTGTTGGAGTTTGGCTTAACAATTAAATTTGGAGTTTTTATTTATTTTAATGTTGTTTAAGAATTGAGATTATGAGTTAGGATTTATGATTATGGACCTTTTTCTTTTTCTTTTTTTTTTGCATATCATGTTTGTTTGAGTTAAGTTGATTGAATTTTATTAAAAAAATATATGAGATATTATTTTGTTACAACAATTTTTTTAGAGAAAATTAAAATATTTAAACTCATTATTAACTTATCAAATTCTTTGAATATTACCGAATTACTAACTCGCCAATCCAATTTATCAAACTAAAGTTTGAATGGTAATCAAATATTGATTTCAAACAACCGATTCCCGAATTGCTGAAATGTCTTTCTATCGAATTCCCGATAGCCGGTCAATCAACGCCCCAACAAAATTCCATCGAAAACGACACAGTTTGGGCTTGGACCCTCCTACTGTGTATCCCTCTTGCGGCTTTAACTAACAGATCCACTGATTCAGAAAAGCGCCAGCTCCCAAGTCCCTTGTCCCATTTAAAATCCCCACATCACTTGGATCTTTCAAGAAAATGGTGGAGGAGCAATGGAGAAATTTTAGCTTCATCGGATAAAAAGGGGAAAAAAAGGGAACGATTTTTCCACTTTGCATCATTTCTTGCTTGCAGGTTCTGCGTTGTTTCCCTTGAATCTTTATATTCTCTCTTGGTTTTGATTAATTGGTATGGCATATCTATATGATTGTGATTGATTCTTGAAAATATCCTGTTGTGTTAGTGAATTTTTATGTATAGAATTTCAATTTCTGCTCCAGTTGATGGTCTCTAAAACCCCATTTGTTTCTTGATTCAAGACTCAATTTTTGCTTCATGGTTTGACTAGAAGAGGATTAGTCTGACAAATTTCGGTGTTATATCGAAAATAGTCGTTTAAATTTTAAGCAGAACTTTGTGGTAAAATTTGATTGTTATTCGATATTGGTTTAATGGATGGTTCGGATAGTGATATTAACTTGAACCAAGAACCTGTGTACCAGCCTGTTGGTTCATCAGCATCAGGTTTTCCGTCTTTATGGAATGAATTTCATGCACTAGGACCTGCTAATGATAGTATACAAGAGAGGTTTAGACAGCTCAAGGCTGCAACTCTTAGAGCAGGGCTGAGCCGTAGGTGGCAACGGATTTGCAATTTGAACGAAAACGGTGGTTCATCTATGGATCCTATAGTTGATGTGAATGGTGGTAGAGGAATGCATGGTGGGGAAGAGAGTGGAGGTGTTATTGATAGCAATGTTGATAAGGGGAAAGGTTGCAAAAGGGAAAGTGGTCTTTTGGTTGCCATGGCACTGGAGATGGACACCGAAGTTAAGAAGGTTCCTGAGGATGTGGGGAGTTTCTATGATTGTAACGTTTGTCTGCATTTGGCGAGGGATCCTATCTTGACTTGCTGTGGTCACATGTTTTGTTGGGCTTGCTTTTATAAGTTGCCATATGTTGATTCAACTGCAAAAGAATGTCCTGTGTGCGAGGGAGAAGTGACGGATTCCAATGTCATCCCAATTTATGGCAATGGCGATAGTACTAGGGAGTCAAAATTGGAGTCTGGAATGACTATACCTCCAAGGCCAAAGGCACAGCGAGTGGAGGGTGCAAGGCAGCAGCGTGTGGCTAGGGGTGCGTATGATATTCCAGTTGGAGAAGCATTAAGGCGAATTAGGACTAGTATAAGTGCAATTGGGGACAACCCTCAGCAAGAAGACTCCAACAGAGATACTACAACTTTCGTTGCAAATTTTTCAATGAGGGAAGAGACTCGACTTCGACGGCTGCGCTCCCTACAGATGTCTAGAAGATTACCAGAGAGAGCTGCTTCTCTTTCTTCTGCTTCATCTGCTCTTAATGTTGCAGAAACGGTAGTTGAAAGTCTTGGGACATTCCTTAATAACCGTCGTTTCCAAAGAAGTGATGCACCGGTTTTGTCTGTTGATAATGGGGATACCCTTACTAGGAATGCTGCAGTTTCACAATCAGAGCATCAGATATCAAGTGAAGAGATTAGTTCTGCAGTAGCTGGTCCCTCATCCTCCGGAACAAGCGACAATTTCATCGCCATCGAGCAAACAGAGAACATGACAAATGGTACTGCTGGTGAACTGAATCTGCCCCCTCGTTTTTATTCACCATCGAGGAGAAGAAACAGTTCGTCAAGGGGTGCAGGTTAGAGAATCAATTTTTTCATCACGGTTTTAGGAGATTTGAGTTGATGTAAGTAAGTAGCAAATCTTACGTCCTCCAGTCCCTTTGCCAACAGCGTAGCTTAGTAAGTACCAGGGTTGCTGGCATGTGTAACTGTTTGCAGCTACCAACTTTAGTAACTGCTTTGCTTTATAAAGCATTCATATGCCAACTTGGACCAACTTTGGTCTTGAAAGTATTATAAACTGAATATTCATTGCCTGGTTAATTGGGTTGCTGATCATATGGGATTTCACATGAACTTTATGATGTTAACCTTATTGAAGATGCATTTACTCCCCAAAGTGTGAATGGCTAAGTTTGTGGCTTAGAGTTGGCCATTCATCTCCTGACCATATGAAGAATGGGAATATGTCCTAAAATAGAAACGAACTAAATCATGAACCCATTCATCTCCAGTCTATGAGTTCTATTGAAGATTACTGGAAGAAGTAAATCTGACAGCGAGACGGGTTCAATAGCTAAACCACTGAATCAAAATAGGATTGGATATGTCCATGCCCTTCATCCTTAGTTTTCCTTTCGTTGCTACGCTAGC